AGTAAGTGCTTCCTGTGAAAGTGGATGTTTTGGGTCATCAATAATTTGTTCCTTACCATCAGAGCTGCTGAACATCATGTGGATTGATGGCAATCTGTCTGCCTATTATTATATCCATGAATGAGCAATGCCAAGAGGAGGGGTTTCAAACTCAAGGCCTGCGGGCTGGATCCGGCCCGTAGAGTGCTTAAATATGGCCCGTGGGGGCCGGCCTGGAAATAGCAAAGGATCAGCCTGCGGTGCCTCTGGCAGCCAAAATAGGGCAGGGGAGGGGCTGCTGAAGGCCTCTGTGCAGCCCGTTTTTGGCTTGGACAGCCTTCTGCAACACTTTGCTGGCCAAAATGGGGTGCAGGGGGGGTGTATGCAGCCCGTTTTTGGCCTGGATGGCCCCCTGCAACAATTTGCGAGCCAAAATGCACATCCCCTCCCCTCGTGCCCCGTTTTGGCCGACAAAGTGCAGCTGGAGGCATCCATCTTGTCTCCCCCCCAACACAGACCAGGGGAGCTACAATGCTGATCCGGACCTCAAACAAATCCAATTTGGCCTAGAGCTTGAATATGTGAAGAAAACAGGATTGTGTTTGGAAGAACACAAGTATTGGAACAACAGTACTGGAAGAAGGAAGATCCACCTACTATTGAGGAATGGACATTAAAAGTTGTGCATTTGGCAGAGATGGCAAAAATTTCATCATATCTTAAAGACCATTCAAATGAAAGATACATATCAGAATAGAGAAGATGGATTGACTATATTCAAAACAAGTATCAGACTAAGAAGATTCATATAGTTTATGAGTGAAATATTTTTAATTTTTAGCTTATGTTTATAGTGTTTTGAGTCATAAGGAGTTAAAGACCCAGAAAGAATTTGAAGTCAACAATTTGTTAGCATATTTTAGTTTTATGTTTGTGAGTGCTATACCCTGTGCTTCTTCTGGGAAGTCAGGGAGGGGGGTGGGGAGAGGGGGGAAGGTTGGGGGTTGAAAATGTTTGTATTTCCTATAAAACTTTTCAATAAAACAAAACAAAACAGGATGGATAACCTTTTTTTTTTAGGGGGCGGGGGATTCTGAGAGCATGGCATGGGTGCTGTCACAAAATTTTCACTACAGGGCCTGACAAAAATACTCATTTTTCCAGAAGACTAACTGGTGAGATTTCTGTGGTGCTCTCTGAGCTTGGTGGTAACCCTTAGTAAACCACCAAGCTCAGAGAGTATGAAGGACCCCGCAGTTCAAACCTGAGCTATAAATATTTTCTTTTATTGGTAAGATTTCTCCCTGGTCGTTTTGGATTATTGGGGTGCTCCTTAGATCATCTTTTGTCTGTCATGTGAACCCAAGTCCAAATTAAGGGCTGAGATGCAACCAACCACCACACTTAGTTTCTAAGAATTCCTCTGGGGTTTGTATGCGGTCCAAAATAAATCAGGTTGATGTGGATTGCTGAACACATTATATCACAACTGATGCACCTGCAGGAGCCTGGATTCCTTTGTGCTTTGTATCAGCATCCCATATGCATATTTATCCGTTCACCCTATTTATTGAACAGAACTGAGTGTATCCATCTTAGGCGAAATGACTAACTGAATTTTAAGTTTTAGTGCCAGTGGGGTTTAGTTAAAAGATGTTCCTCTTGATGTAAGGGATTTTAGGGCTTCTGTTTGCTGTCAGAAGAGGATTGTTTAGTAATGGCTAGCATATGTTTGAAGCAAGAACATGGTTTTTAAAAGTTTCATTGGTTGCTGCAATTCCTATCTGTCAAGTCAAGGATTTAGTCATCTTTAGAATAAAGAGCAGCAGGAGATAATCTTAACACTTCCAAATATCTCCATCTTGCAGTGTGCAGACTACAATCAAATGCTGTGTTGCATCATCCTTTACAACCATGAAATAGTCGCATCTTACGAATCTGAGCCATGAAATTCTGCAAGGTTCACTCACAGTATGTACATTTTGTCATTGGAAACTTATTTATACATAAAGAGCTTTGTCAGGAGCAAGAGAGATGGGGAAAATGTGGCATGCAGGGGCTGTGCAGAAGACCATAGTTATTTTGAGGCATTTTTATGACATATTTTGATTTCTCCTTCATATTAAGAAAAGGAATGGGGGATTTTCACACAGCTATAAATCTGTGAAAATCTCAGAACTTCAGTTTCCATCATGGAGTCATGTACCGTCCTGTCAAGGTTAAGTCGGGCAGTCTCATCCCCACAGAAGCAGGTCCCCAAAATCCTGGCACCAGGTTTTGGTAAAAACCTTGAGGTTATTCTGTTTGTGGGCCACTTCTGCACAAAACTTAGCATTGGTTACTGTGGAAATTGGCCACCCCTTGGTATCACTGCTGTTATTATAAAGGAGCTCCTGACAGCTTATAAGAGATTTGGGTATCATCTTGCTTGGCATGTGTGGTGTACCAGCTTCTGTTCTGTTCTGTTCTGTTCTGTTCTGTTCTGTTCTGTTCTGTTCTGTTCTGTTTGTCAAGCCTGAATTTGATTGGGGTGTGGAATTGTTTGTATCCTTGGGCATTCTGACATGCATTCAGCTTGACACACTTGGGAGCTGAAGCGGGGATGGAGCCTTCAGTCAAAACAGCATTTCTCATTGACTGATGAGTCAACCACTTTCCAACATCTGGCTAACAGGAAGAGGAGGAGGAGGAGGAGGAGGAGGGGAGATGTCACTGAGCAACCAGCTCCCACCTTGGTTGGACAATGTGACAGTAGTTTTGGAAACGTGAGAAACTGAAACTTATATTGGGGTGAAAAGCCCGGGAACTTTAGTACTGGCTTTTCACCCGAACCGCCAAGATGATGTATCTAAATAAATTTGTTCTTTGAGGAGAAGCAATGCCTTGGATTTGTTATGGGTGCATTACTTGGAGCCTGACACTGTTCCATTCTATTCCATTCTATTCTGTTCTACTCCATTCTATTCTGTTATGCTTTTAACTCAGTTTGCTTGAGTTAATAAAGCTTAAAAACTTTTTATTCACTAGAATGATCATTGTCTCTGGATCAAAAACAAAATCAGTTGCCTTAGCAACTGACCATTGCCCAGACATTTGGCAAAACAAGGTCTCAGCAGAAATATCTACTAAAACCAATGATAAAGTTTGACATTCAGAGATTTGATCTGCAAACCCAACTCAAACTTACATTAAGTTTATATCAAGAACAATTGCAAGGAAAACTTGCAACATATAAAACAGGTGTATATTTGTTCCACACAGTAAGTGGTTAGAGATAATTCTGGCTCCATACTACACAAAGATATTTAGGTTTTTAAGAAATGACTATTTATACCAGCAGTTACTATAGAAATAACAGGTAGCTATGAGCACATTGGTAACTATCAGACAGATGCCATTCATAATAGCATCCTTTTGCTTAAAAAAAAAACATTTTATAGAACGAATAAGTTCTTCATAGAAGACTTTTCATAGAATCACAGAAGTTATTACTTAAACAAGCTTAAAATATAATTCCTGCCTATTTTATTTTATTAAAAAAAAATAGGATTGGCCTTCTTTTTATCTGTGGTTGGAATGTACCAGGATTGTAAAATGAGGTAAAACATGATAAATGTGTGCACTGAGCTGGAGTGGGAAGAAAAGTCTAAAAACTAAAATTTCTTAGAAGCAAGTCATTTTAAATCAAACTGAGCCAACCGCTATCTGCACAATCCAATATATGCATTCAGAGCAAACTCAGGCAACCTGATAAACAAATCTGTAGCAATTTAAGAACATTGGATGTAAATTGTATATGTTTCAAGTTTTAGAACTGAAACTAACAGCATCTAACAGCCATCCCTAAGGAAGGTTAGGTAATTTGCAGTGTGTCATTGTATCACAAGTACTTTCTTTGGCTTGTATGTGTGTTGAAACATTGCATAGATGTACAAAAAGGGCGGAGTTTGTGTTGTGATGTCACAACCCATTTTTTTTTGTCACCTGCCTCCACCATGATTGCAGATTTCTGTTCAACATAGAAATTTGTTTTGTACAAAATATCTCAATTTGAAAGAATTTTGCTTCCCAAAATGGATAATTGATTAAGCTACATTCTTTCCTATAATGATTGACAGAAATTAAAGACAAAGACTCTGCATGCAAGTCTTACATATTCCTTCTAGGTAAGTATTGCTATCATTTGCCAGTGCAAACATCTCAACAGTAAGATTTTAATCTAGGATTTTTCTCCATGGCAAACAATATTTTTTTTGTTTTTTTGCTTCATATTGGAAATAAGGCTGACCAACCGTAATAGCATCAGCCCATGAGTTTGTGGCAGAATCTGATGGATTATGATGAAGAGGCAGTTTCTCAGGAAAATGGGAGCATATTCTAAAAAAAGGAGTCAAAAGTGCCCAGAGCTGGATAGGAGAGAGAGGAAGAACTCTCTAGAATCTCCCAGAATATTCCCAAGTAAGAGTAACATAGGTTTAGCCTGGCAAGATTCTGTCTGTTGTTTGTAAGCAAATAAAGAACTGAACTCTGGCTGAATTGTCCAACATCATTTTGGGGCTTAACTTGACATAAAGATAAGATTCAAACCAAGACTCTGGTCCATCCTTTAGCCTTTTAGTTATTTTGTTTTACCATTTATCTGTGTCATCACTTTCTCAAAGAATGTTGGGTGCTTTTCAGTTTTTCTTTAACTAAGCGTCAGCATTTTGTCCACAAAATGACCAAATTTTGTCTACAATGGCTTTTTCAAACCCTTTACTGTAACCTACTGACAACAGTGCAGCTTACATTTCAATTCAGCATAGCAACTTCATCACATCTGTCTCCTGAGGTGCTAGTTCTGAGATAGCAACTGGCTCTTAAGCTCCATTTCCATTGAGGTTCCAAACACAGCATTGGGTTTGCAATGTTGTTAGTAGATTAGGTTATAGAGATCATGGGGATACAGAGAAATAACACCTGCTTGTTATACATCAAGTTTTTGTTCCCTTGCCAACATTCACTTCAAAAAGTTTCCATACCTGCTTGAGATAAAAGTGGTGTATAAGGGACTTTCGGTTCTATTGCACTCATTGGCGGAGGTAGCAAAGGGTTGGCAAAACTGCGGAGGGGATGTGTAGGCCGGACACATGCAGTAGGAATTGTCCTGCTTTGAGGTTCCTCGCTGCTTGGATGTTCAGGCTGTGTTTGCGGTAGCATGGAACTTTGTGGTGTGGCTGGTCCTTCAGTCACTGCTGTAGGAGAAAAAGAAAGAAAATGTAACCAATCTGAAAGCCTATTAGAGCTGTAAGCTCACTCAGACGTGAAGAAATATTGCTCCCCTATCACCATGCTGATTTGTTCCTGACTTTTTGTTTTTTTGTTTGAAGGCTCTGGAAAGTTTGTTTTAAGGATGCGATTGTGTTTCACATATCATAATCTGCTCTGAATATTTTATTAGATGTTCAGGACAAAAGCCTCCTGGAAAATCTGGCAAAAATCATCTTTTTTTAAAGAGTCGCGTCTTTATCTCAACTGTTTAGAATCTGATTGATGGAGAATATGAGCGGAAGTATTCCTCAGACAGATCTGTGTGCTAACAGGGATTATTCATTGTCTCTTCCATAGACAATAACAGTGTGGTCTCTTCAAAGTAGCAATGTATCTTAAGGAACTCATTTCTCCATAGCAATGAATAGTACCGCCTTCTGCCACCAATTGCCTCCCACTGGCCAGTTCGCTCCCACAGAGAGGGCCTCCTCAGGGTGCCGTCGGCCAGACAATGTCGGCTGGCAACACCCAGGGGGAGAGCCTTCTCTGTGGTAGCACCCACCCTCTGGAACAATCTACCCCCAGAGATACGAGTGATCCCAGACCTCCGGACTTTTCGTCAGACTCTCAAAACCTATTTTTTTCAGTTAGCCGGGCTGTCCTGATTTTATGATTGGTTTTAATAATTTTGATATGGCTTTTAATTGGAATGTTTTAAATTAATGGGCCAAATTTATTTAACTATTTTAAAGTTATTTTAACTTTTGTATATAAAATGTTTTATTTTTTGGCTGTTCACCGGCCTGAGTCCGAAAGGAGAAGGGCGGTATAGAAATTTGAATAAAGATAAAGTACCATTCTCTTGCCGATAAGCAAGTTAAGGGAATTCTTAGATATGCTATTGGGATATCAGCAGCAGTGGGTTTCACATAATTTTACCACCGGTTCGCTCTTGTGCACATCTTCAGCACATGCACCCGGCCTTCCATGCATGCACTTTGCTCACACGCATGGCTTACACCAGAGGTGGGTTCCTCCCGGTTTAGTCTGGTTCGGCCGAGCCGGTAGCGGTGACGATATGACATCACCGAACCGGTTCTCCCCCCCGCCCCCCCACCCCCGTTATTCTTACCTTTTATTTGGTCCCACCCCCAATCTATTGCTGCCTCCTGAGTCCCAGCTGATGACTAGAGGGAAAAAAAACTGTTTAAACTCTTGCCGCGGGGCTTCAAAGGGCCGTCTTACAGCTGATCAGTGTTAAAAGCAAACAAATGAGTCGGGTTGTAAGTGCGAGGACTGGTCTTAAGTGCGAGGACCTTCCAGAAATGACTCTGACCAGCTAGCCACGCCCACCTAGTCACATGACCTCCAAGCCACACCCACAAAATAAGCCACGCCCACAGAACCGGTAGTAAAAAAAGTTAGAACCCACCCCTGGCTTACACGCATGCACGAGGCTTAGAAAATGTGGCTAAATAGGACGGCATAGCACTGGGGAGGGTGGGGGGCAGTTTGCCACCGAACCGGCTGAATACCACCTCTGGATATCAATTAAGACCTGACATCTCTTAATATTTCCAATCTCAGAGGAAGATAGTTTGTAAACTCTCCACTATCAACTCAGTTTACAGTTATTTACTTTGTCCCATAAAACGTCTACAGCAGTTCATGAGAATCAAACCAGTAGTAATGGTGCCTCATTGCTTAATTATCCTTTCTACCAAACATCTATTCTCTTAATGTTCAGATTCAATTCTGTCAGGATTTTTAGCATTTGCCTCAAACCAGAAGTGATTCTTCCAAACACAATTCTTACAGAGTTCTCTTTAGCCAGATTTATTGATAAGAATGGTATAGACTTACAAGAATTCCAGCAATTGAATTATTCCCCTATATTAAAGGTAAACATATGTGCCAGTCGTTCCCGACTCTAGGGGGCGGTGCTCATCTCCGTTTCAAAGCTGAAGCGCCAGCGCTGTCCAAAGACATCTCCGTGGTCATGTGGCCAGCATGACTAAATGCCAAAGGCACACGGAACCCTGTCACCTTCCCACCAAAGGTGATCCCTATTTTTCTACTTGCAGTTTTTTACCTGCTTTCGAACTGCTAGGTTGGCAGAAGCTGGCACTTCTGCCAACCTAGCAGAAGTGCCAGCGGCACTAGGGAATATGCGGCACTCGGGATTCGATATGCTGAACTGCCGACCTTTCGATCAACAAAGTTAGCATCTTAGCCACTGAGCCACCGCGTCCCCTATATTAGAACTAGTCTAACACTGTGTTGATTAGGGTGGAGATGTTTTGATTTTCTTTCTAATACTCTGCTTATAGTTGAGTAAAGAGGCAAGTATTTCAGTGATAATGTAGAAACTAGCAGCTGGCTCATTCTATAACATCTCTTTATCAATCTGCAAATAATTGTTACAGTTCAGTTCAAATGTTATAGCAATGTGAGAAACTTCAGTTTTGGTATGGCACCTCAATATCACCTAAAGACTAATTCATGTCAACCAATCCCTTTCTGGTATGAAAGTTGGAAGAATGTTTTACTCTGCCACCTTTTCCATTAATATACTTAATTCTCATGACCATTTCTATATAATTTTCATGTATTGCTTATTATACTGTCATTTCTGTTTTGTTTTGTTTTTTGTTTTTGTTTTTTTACTGCAAACTGATTTATCTGATAAACATCTGAGAGCCATAATGGAATTTATTTTTGTACTTCTTCCCAAAGCCTATTCCATGCAGGTCCATTTGTATAAACTAGGATGCACTGTTATGGTCTACTAATGGTATTTATTTATTTATGTATTTATGTATGTATGTATTTATTTATTTATTTATTTATTTTTTATTTATTTTTTATTTATTTATTTATTAATTATATTTCTATACCGCCTTTCTCCCGAAGGACTCAAGGCGGTGTACAATCAAGAAAAATATAGACACACAAACATCATAAAATTGCTAATTAAAATTATTACTTAGTTTGGTCAATTAAATAAAACCCAGAATTAGATAACATTTAAAAAAAAAAATCATTCACATGTTCATATGTTTAGCCCCGCCTGTTGAAACATCAGGGTCTTGAGGGCACGGCGGAAAGCACGGAGATCAGGGATATTCCGTATCTCTGGGGGCAGTTCATTCTAAAGGGTTGGAGCCCTCACAGAGAAGGCCCTCCCCCTGGGAGTCGCCAGTCGGCATAATTTGACTGACGGTACTCTGAGTAGTCCCTCCCTGTGAGAACGAACTGGTCGGTGGGAGGCTATTGGTGGCAAAAGACGGTCTCGTAGGTACCCGGGTCCTAAGCCATGGAGCGCTTTAAAGGTGATAACTAACACCTTGAATCGCACCCGGAAGACAACCGGGAGCCAGTGCAGCTCGCGTAGGAGAGGTGTTACATGGGCGTAACAAGCTGCGCCCGTAATCACCCGCGCGGCTACATTCTGGACCAGTTGGAGCCTCTGGGTGCTTTTCAAGGGGAGCCCCATGTAGAGAGCATTACAGTAGTCCATACAGGAGGTAACTAGGGCATGAGTGACCGTACGCAAGGCGTCCCGATCCAGAAAGGGACGCAACTGGCGGATCAGGCGAACGTGATAAAAGGCACCCCTCATTAGACAGATGAGCTTAGAGATTTTTTGATTTGCTGCATAGATCGAGGACCTCACAGATGGCACATTATTGTTGGCTGGGCAAAGCAAGCTACAGAGATTAGTTGGGCTCATCCCTTATATTCTATCAAACTAAGGAGAATATGGAAAGAGAAGGAATAAGGAGGAAAAGTGGAGGATCTATTTAAAAACAATCAAATAGAAGGCTGACTTGTCTCTGCAGTGAATAAGTAGTGAAACCCAAGAGCTTATTTGAGGAGGGAAGAAAACAAATTTAGGTAGGCTGATAGTACTGATCTTATTTAAAAACTAGACAACCTGTGACCCATTGGGTCAACATTTCAAAGACATTTCCTTACCTAAACATGAATGAATGAGCACAGGCAGGCAAAAAACCCAGCAGGAGCTGGAGCAACTTTCGGCTTCCTGCTGGCTTCCCCATTGACTTTTTTTGTGGAAAATTGGCAGGGAGTGTTGGAAATGATAATTATGTGACTGCAACTGACTGTGACAACACAACAGCAGTGAAGCAGCCCCAAGTTTATAAACTTCATAAAGTAATCAACGTGGGAGGAAAAAAAAATCTAAAAAATAAATAATTCTTGCCAATTTTCAATCCTATAGGAGTATTGAAATCCTATTGTATTCCATACAATTTGAATCCTATTGTATTCCATACAGCCTATTTGAAGTTTCTTGATTCAAAAATTGTTGCCTTATGATGCACAGATTTGGTCACCTGAAGACACACAATCAGACATGAGAGTTTTAGCTGTACATAGTCTATATTAGTCTTAAGTAATGTAGACCAGTCCATTAGTCATATGTAATGTTTCCTTCTGCTGTTTTTTCCCTCTATTTTCCTTTTCCCAGTAAACTCTTTTTTTCTATGTGGAACTTCAACTTGAGTACTCTGAAAAGGAATTCCTTATTTAAACCTTCCCATATGCATTGATTATGCAAGTAATTCCTGTGTTCCCTGATCAGCACAATTTTTATTACATTTTGTATTTCAGGGCTTTGTGTAGGATAATCCAAAGCATTTTGTTTTTGATCTTCATAGGGATGGATGCAGGGAGAATTTCTAGGTAGGACACTAACAGAGTCCACGATGAACCAACTGATAGGAATCAGGAGGTTCAGTCTGACACATATCATAATGATTATTAACTGGGCAATCCTCAGAAAAAAAAGGATCTACACTGGCAGTTTTACATTATCCCTTCTCCTGATTTATATCAACCCATCGTGGAAATAAGATTTAACATATATTTGTTTGTATAGTTCAATTTCAGATGTCAGATATCAATTTGTATTTATTATTTATTAGAAAATGAATGTTTATATTATTCAGTCCCAAGATTC